GGTTCAAATAGATAACGACATTGGTGAATCCTCAGGATGAATAACAAATCTCGGAACCCCCCATCACTCAGACAAGCTCTAGATCATTGTAGTCTAGACTGGACGGACAGGCACGAAAGCCAAGCCCGACGCTTCACAGTCCAGCAACAAAAAAAAAAGCCAGCCATCAGGAAGGCTTGAAAGAAAGAAAGAACAGACAAACTAACTTGATCAAAAGTCCTGTAGACTACTCGACAACATCATCAAGAAGCCAGACATCAAGATATTCTACCTAAGTAACAGACTGAAATTGAAAACAAAAACAAAGCTATCAACAACTGGAACTGAAAGATCTTTGGTAATGTATAAAAGCTTTCAAGGTAGTATGATACATAATACGGATTTACCAGCTATCTCTATGAGCATGAACGTATTTCCAACGTCCTATCTCAAATGATACTTAATGAGGGCCTCCAATCCTTCTGAGTCCTAAAATTGGAAGTGTCACAATGATTTACCAGAGACGGTAGTGTTACCAGATTTTAGGTTTCTAGATCTTAGAGTATACAAGGAGATTGAGCGTCTCATTTCCCCCACGCGAACAACTCTTGTGTTCAGAAGGTAGAATTGCAGAAATAAGCGATCCTGATGCTCTCCCAAGCGCGAAGAGTACTTAGGACGCCTTGGAAGAAGCCTTGAACCCTAAAAGGAATCATCAAGGACAGTCCCACTCCACGATTTGCTAAACTTCTGAGCCTTCATACACATCGAGCGTACCACCCTTCACCTGCTTCGGAAATGAAGTATGAATTGGTTTGATCTGGGGCTATTGAATGAATATTTCCCGTTCCGGTGCCGAGGGTTGCCCTGATGGAGAGGGTGGGTGTGTAGTAAGCATTCCGATGCCTGTAGTATATACTTGGCACTACGATAGCTTGAAGGGAAACCTAGTGTATATCTCAGTAGCAAGATCCAGAAGTTTTATAAATGTACTTAGGGGGTCACATCACCAGTTGGAATCACTTGTGATTGAGGATATGTGGGGCTTGACTAGTTTACTTATGTAGTACTGTTTGCCGAAGCAATTTCAATAGGTAACGAGCAAGCAGTTCTGGTTGAATGACAGCGCACTGAGCCGGCTGGTCAAATTCCAGCACAATGGCATCTCTGCAGGTTCGCGGGAAACGAAATTTCCTCCCCGAGGCCTTCTTCAGTGGCGCAAGGACTGGTTGACCGAGAATGTGAATAACTCACACTAGCCATCCCTACCTGGTATTTCGTCCAACATATTCCAGCTCCAAAAATAGACACATTACTTTCGAAATGTCTTTTCTTAAAAATTTTCTGTATCGAAAAGGAAACCTGAATCCACAGGAATACTGATTCAGTAACCAAATATAACTCCCAAAGGTAAGGGGAACACATAGAAGTTTCAAATTCGAGTCGGGCCATGACCGAATCACGGAATCATATCAGTTCACATCTGTGTTTCTAAGAAAGATTTCAATGGTTACTGGTTACTCCCTTCCTTCCTGGTATATAGTAGCAGTTAAGCTTTCATTTCATATGCTGTACAGAACGACTATACACAATCCGAATAACACTTTTGGCATGTTCTGTCAGTGGCTAGAACTCATGAGATAAATTCAGCAGATCATGATGAATATCACACCGAACCCCTGAAGGATGGGTGTCGATCCAGAAGTAGATCTTTGCCTGCATACTCCCTGCCTAGTGCGGGTACTCTTACCTAACAAGTGAGTAAATGTGAAATTTCAGAAAGCCCTGATCATGAAATACCAAGTACAAATACTTAGCCTGTCAACTGAGAACATCGAGCAGCAAATGTATCTACGCCACCATAGTTAATCGTCTACAGGCGGAGACATTCCTGTAAACCAGGGATAATGACAGGGTCATCGCTGAGAGGGACTCGGTGACGGTATGTGAGCTCCGATTTAGGTAGATCAGAGGATCTATCAAACGAATTTTGAGTAATTTGCCTTACTGGGTACATCTATGCTCCAGAACCCCGAAAGCAAATGTTGGATGAGGAAGGAACTTGACAAAATGATATCTACCGAAACAAAACTTGACCTCGTCCCGATGGGCAACCGTATAGTCAGACCGAGAAAGTAGAAGGCAAAACAACGACGAACCTCGCCGAACTTGACCGACTTGACCATATCGGCCAGATTGGGCTAACTTACAGTCCGAAAATTAATTGGGGGTTGCGGCTTGACCCGATAAGTGGGTGAGTGACAATCAAAATATCGACAAATAATGCTAGTCCTATTAGCGCCGAGGCCCTTGTCTAGTCATCATCACCTCCTTCCAATCAGTCTTGTATAAACTTGCCGTACTTGAAGGAGAAGGTCTCAGTGTATCTCAAGCACGACACAAATCACAACCACTCCGTGCTAGCCCTTTTCCTCGGAAGATAAATGAAGATCCTACGATGTTCCTGGTTCGTCGCCATTATTGATTCTTTCTAATCAGCTTACACCTGTTATAGCAAAGCACCAGAGAGTAATACACACAACTCTGACGACATCAAACCCAGTCTCATTAGGAACAAGGCCAGGTTCCATAGAAAACCCATCTCATCTTTGTCTACTTCCATACCTTCCCGCCCCTCACGACCACAGCTTCGTTTCATGTACCCTTCTTTCTTCAATCGAGAACCCACTATCTTTCCCTTTTCTCTCCTTTCCGACCAGGAAGTGAAGCTTCTCTTTGTTTCTGATACTGTTCCACCATATCCTGCCTATCGCTGTGTCCGCACAGAAGGGGGCAAGTTATCATCCACCAAAAATGAAACATCTTGTGATGTTATGGCGCCCATAAATATCTGTCCTCACCGCTTCATTGACGCTCACACACTCAAGCTTATTGAGTTTTACAAGGACGCCGTCATACCTCCATATGCCATTCTCTCACATAGGTGGGGGGAAGAAGTTGTCTACGATGAGTTTCTTCACCCCCGGCGCGAGACAAAAGCAAAGTCACGGTTAGGGTACCAGAAAATAAAGGCCACCTGTCAACAAGCTCGCAAGGATGGGATTCATTATATCTGGGTCGATACTTGCTGCATTAAGCAAGGGGATCCTGCCGATGTGTCGGCAAACATCACATCGATGTATGCATACAACCAAAATGCGGAGGTTTGTTATGTATATCTGGCAGACGTAAGCAAAAAGTCCGAGATGTTCGATAGAGTCATTCTGGGAAAACATCTTGCAGGAACTGAATGGCTTGAGCGTGGGTGGACGTTGCAAGCTCGTTGCGCCCCGAACTGTAATCTTTTTCAATAAAAACTGGCAGCGCATCGGAGACAAGTATGGGTTGCGAAACCAAATACATCTCCAAACTAACATTCCTCCAGCTGTTCTTTCAGGGGAACAGTCCATTCGTGACATTGATGTACCGGAACGAATGTCTTGGTCCGTAGTACGAAGGATAACAACCAAAGCACAAGATGGTGCTTATTGTCTACAAGAATTTTTGGACATTTTACTTGAACCAGATTACGACGAGTCCTTTCTCGTTTCGTGGAATCGATTGGGAAAGGCACTATTTGAAGCTCATCCTGAGCTCAAAGAGAGGATAGAAATTAGCGATGACTTGTTTCTTGATCCTGAACACGGTCACTTTTATCGACTACTTCGGGACAAATTTTGGAGTACCTATCGAAAGACCCATAATCTTACCTACAACAGATTCTGAATGCGTGTAAGAGCTACCTAAATGTTCAGGGAGACGAGAATTCCAACCAACACAATAGTATTTTGCTATACCTAGAGAATAATCCAGTCACTTCTACCGAGAGTTTGTAACATTTTGGAGTTCCACTCACTTCCGAATCTCACATGCTAGAGAAGTAATCAAAATCATGATAAATATTGGTGGTATGACTGCAAACTAGTACACCAATACTCGCTATATGCTGATAAATAGTGCAAAACGAGTTCAAGATGTAATGAAGGGCATTGAGTGGCCTGAGCCACAGCAGTGACAATAATACCTTGCAGTACTCCTTTCTTGCATGAAAGACCCAGAATCGAATATAAGCCAGGATCTAGAGTCCCACAGTGTGGCAATGGAGTGTACCTTTCTACTGGCATGTGTCACGGTTACTTGTATATTGTAGTCTATACTCACACATCGTGTGGATATCGTCTCGCGGATGTTGAACTGTAGGGTTCAAGTGACCGTATGAATGACACACCACTGGCAGCGATCACTCAGGTTCAGCTCAAAGAATACGGTAGTATTTTGAATATTACTACAGCTATAGGCTAGAATGTGAAAGCTTCGGTAGCATTCGTAGTTACCTTAGATCAATTACTCATCGAACAATTTTTCTATCTGCCAAACACGAAAAGTCAAGATCATCATATCAATTTCCAAATCATTGGTATGACAGACTGATTGGTACCTGCCCCGCCACGAGGCTCACAAGTCTCGGACTCAAGGGAGGCTAAATAAAGATTAACATTTATGCAGCACCGATGGTTTGCACACCAAACAGTGAACTCGTCTGCAAGGTTTTGGATCACTAGTAACCTACTCTCTGAAGAAGTGATGGGTCTGATCGTCTTTTGGGGGCCTTGAACTAGCCCGAAATCACATTAAGTCGACCCATGGTCCAGCCTGGAGTGGTAATTGCACCTGATTACTGAAGCACTGTTGAGGTGCGTTTTAGGGTACAAGAACCGCCTTGTCTATTGTTATCTTATTGTGTTGAATGCCTCGAGGCGAACATGAATTTGATTCTGATTGTTTTTAGTACAAGCTTTCTGAGCAGGACGTATTTGATTCTTCTCTAATGGTTGTATTGCTTAGGTCTTCTTCGAGCTATATTTCTTTGCCTTGAGGCGCCCTGATATAAACAGATAACAGGTTTGGGGTCTCGAGGGCCGAGGCATCATCATCAATTTGAACGGTGGACCGTTGGTCGGCAAATACGCAGAAGATAAATGAGTCTCCCATTATTTCGGAGAGCATTTCTTTTATTTGTTGCCCGCCTAGCTCAATCGGATAGAGCGTCAGACTCTTATAAGCTCCTCAAGTGGGTGTTGTGGGTAATCTGAAGGCTGCGAGTTCGACCCTCGCGGTGGGCTACAGCCTACAAGTATTCTCTTTTTTTCGGCGCTTATCGGATTGAACAAAGTGGCGCACCTTGTTATGGCCGTCATTAACGAAGCCGGGCGGAAGTTCGGGAGTGTAAAAAGTAATCCAGAATAAAATGGCCAGTATCAGCCTTTGGCGGTCTTCTCGGGAGTCACCTTTTCATTGGATTTGATATTGAAATCACTCGGGTATCTGAGATGGCCACGAATCGGACCATTTTGATTTTCTTCCAAACATAGAGTTTCTGTGAAGATTCCACGTTGCCTTTTTCAAGCAGTCAAATTCATAGCTGAACAGATGAACCATCATTTTTCGCTGCATGGAGAAGGGTGGAGATACCTCAAAGTCTATGGCCACAATCCGACCATTATTTCCGACATGGAAGTATGTATGTCAAATAAAATACACGTTGTGTGAACCGACTCCAATTTCCGAGCTAAGAGACAGTCTGACAGATTGTCGTACTCCCTCGTACTCCCAGCTGCCTCGTGGCTGAATCTATCAAAGTTTTATATCAGGCGATCGGCGGTGGTTAACACTCTCGTGCTCTATGGTATCTCATATATGGGTCGCCATTTATTTGGCTTCCGATCAGAAGAGCTCAGATCCTCGGGGCCTCAGGGTCACAGTGGGGACTATGCGTCTATGCCACCTCCAGGATTGCTACAGGACATCCAAATCAGTGATCTCCATGTTGTGGAAAGGCTACCCATTGGCCGCAGTAGCAATCCCTTATTCTATTCCCTCTTGAAAACCTCCACTATGTTTCGTCTCACCGGGACATCATGTGAAGGTCTATATTCGATAACAACTGTCGTCATTGGGCTGCGCCGGTTCACCAAGGTAATCCTGAAAATCTCAAGTGGGTTTTTGTTCGATAGTCTTTTCTCTCCTTCTCCATCTAATGGCCGTGAGTAGTGGATAGCGTGTGGCTTGGACACATAGAAGATCAATATTATGATTCAATAACTGAGGATTTAGTCGAACTAACGGATATGCCGGCCGAATATTTCATATTGGCCCAGTTCCCGTCATCATAAAAGGTACATCATAGACCGGGAGTATTGAATCAAAAGAAGTTCTCATTCCCGTCCATTGAGACAGTGGCAAAAGATATATCCCAGCATTTTGGCGCGCGCTCGAATACAAGATGTTCTTTTTCCTGGCGAATGTTTTGTCACTGTTATTGTCTTCTTATATCAACTTCAAGGTCCCATGACTTCACCTTAAGGAATCAATGTCCGAGTCAAGTATATCTTCCTGAACATCTGATAGAGACCAAAGTTATTTCAGCACATTTCATGTAAGCTTTTCTTTTCTCTCTTTCCTCTTTTCACCCGGCTACATACCAGCTGTTTGTGAGAGAAATATCGCCCGTTCCCAGACAAGGAGGGCCACATCCTGCTTCGAAATATATTTGAAGATTGTCGGAGAGCGATTTTTGTGAATCTCTCATACATATCTCGATGAATCTATATCAGCTGACTTCCCTAAACCTACCACGGATAACAATCACTTCGATGATGCTCCACTGATTTTTCGGATTAGTGGCGATTGCTTACTGCAGAGACAGCATTGAAGGAGAGTCAAGCAAATCAAGTAGACTCAAAGGATGACGATTACCTTGGAGCAGGTAAGAGAGACTTCAGGCGGCCTATACCAAGCGCAAGCGTTAGTATTTAAGGACAGAACTTACGATACGTGGTCTTTTCGGCGAGGGTCAATTCTATCGTCGTCAATTGTATACTTGCCTTTCATTCGAAATGTTCAAAAAAATAAAGTTTCTCTGCACATTGTTTCTTCCCAGGACGCGGGACAATGTTGAGCGGAGTTTTATAGAGAAATCGTATTTCAAAAAGGTGGTACCGCCGGCGAACAGATTTTCGCGATAACATACAATGTGTTTGAATTGACATGATTGAGGTCTTCATCTACATATGGTTGTCATTGTACTCAGATATTTCCTCTGCATGGATTTCTACTCCACAATGGTGCTATACCACAAGCTAGAGGCTAACAGAGAGTAAATGACACTGAAAATGTATAGTTGTCTTCTCAAACCTTTCAGCTTTCAACGTCACCGACAAGACTTTGCCGCCGTATGCGGGAATTAAACAATTGAGCACGTCAACAATCGGAAATGTCATCGACAGACATCAGAACACGGATATTTCCTGTCAGAATTCCACTTACCAAAAAAATCGCTTCAAGTAATCCGGTTCTTTTAGAGCTTACACTGGGGGGTCTCTTCCAGCTGCTTCCAAACTTCCCTCAGCGCTTTAACCTTTTCTGCTTGTTCAAGAGCTATTTCTTTGAAGATTTACTGTCACGCCGTTTTTCCTTCATTTCATATGTGATAGAGCCACTTGCTCGCTAGTCTCTGATTTCACTGAGGGTAAACCGGCGTTCCTGAGAAACACAGATCTCACTTAGCATCAAGAATATTCCTCCGGTGAGACAACTAAATTTGGTAAAACAAAATACTCCCGGAGATAGAGTCGGAAGCAAAAAATTTAATAATATTAAATTCAGACTTCCGATAAACCTCCGCATATCCGAATGGCCGGCTGTTGACGTGACGTCAAAGAACCTTCAAGGTGACTTTCCACAAGTTCTTTTTTTCTGCAGTCGACATTGTTCAATGGTTAACCGACGCTCGAAATTTCCACTCCGAGTCACCTCGACGTCGATCTTGACATCAACTTCGAAGTCCCAAGGACGTCGACCCTTTCTTTCTTTTATCATTATCCGCTGATAACCGCCACCACCCAACCAAGTCCATAGTATACAAATGATAAACCCCTTCTTCCATACTAGACAATTGAGCTAGTACTAATCGGAGCAGTACAGTACGGGGCAAGGCAGACTAGGACTTATACGGGATCCGTTTTGCAAGGCCATGGTAATCATCGTTGAACGTGTTATGACGATTGAACCGGACTCCTCAGTACGGGACCGCTTCAAGTATCGTTACCCAATCACAATCTTTGATGGCGGGGTACTACGGAAAAGATATTAGTCTAGGGTCTACTCTTAGCATTAGACATACATAGACTAAGACAAAGTGTCTTGATTGGGTATCAGCCGCGAGGCGGATATACTATCCTTTTCAATTTTTTCCAGGATTTCCTATACTTGTCTGCACCTGAGGAAAAACCATACGATTTTTTCATTTCGCTTGAGGTACTTGCATACTTGGCTTTCGAAGGGGTGCGTATATGCGTTCCTCACTAATATGAAGTGCTCAAGTGACAGTAGTAAGTGCTCCGCAGAAAGGTCGACCGTCGGACGCTGGATGAGGCCGAGCGTGGGGCGTTCGAAACCGGAAAGCCCTTGACCTCGAACATTGAATGTTCGCTACAAAGCGGCTACATGTTCTTGTATTCTTACTCGGTCACGGCGTGGGTACGTACATATATTTTGAGTAAGTGTCACAGTGGTACTAGTCTTCCCAAAATAAAAATGTACCCTGGATTCGTTTCTGAAGAAGTAATCTCAAATAAAAATACGGGAAGGAGGTACATATGGGTGCAGTGTACTTTCGACGGTACAGAGTGCGCAATACATACAGGATCATTTTGACGTGTGTATGCACATTATGATATGTCCTTACAAATGCAATGTACGTCGGTATGTGGGTTGAAGCGGGAACTTTGTTACGCTTCGCCGAGTCCTTTGAATTTCAGCTAATATATTCATTTCGTATTCCGTCCTTGACGGGACCCCAGTTCGAAGGGGATAAGAGAGGCAGAATCATTGAGATGGGATGGCGTAAGAAAACACGTTTTGCTACTTTGCCATCTGCTTTCGAATTTAATTTTTTTACTTAGGGTCGATGGACTTTGCCGTAGGTATTTGTAAGTATACCCGTTCATACCCGCCTCGGCGAGAAAATCAAAAAATATCCTGATCATCATGGCTCCTGGATTAAATATCCGCATAGGTTTACAATGTACGTACACGTACGACGGACAATATTAATACCGGACACCGTCGACAAGTGCTTAGCGTATACAAGTACGTCTATTGAACACCAACTTCGAGGAGCTTCTCCGACGTTCAGCTATTCATTCGTTAGAAAATATAACACTGTAAAAGATTTCTAAACAGTTCAACGCCTGTCAGAAGTTAATTTTAGCAGGTAACTTGTCTAGTGACATTGACAGTATTCTAGAGTCCCTATTACTAGTACTGGTCCAGAGAGTCGAAAGGAACCCCCCCCCCAACAACAAATTATCAGCAGAGTGTCCTTTCTAGTGAATGAGTATGTAAAGTCATCGACAGAGATCGTCATGGACACTTGTTAACGTCAATAACTCCAGTCTAACCATTTTTCCTTACCATCTAAGTACCTATCCATAACGCATATTGCATAAGACAGAAAAAAAGCATCATACGTTTCTGAATCCCATTCATCGGAATTAGGTGAACAATTTTTTTAACACATACATACATAACTCATGAGAAAAAATTGTCCATGAGAAATCCTGAAATCTCCTTCTTTCAAATATACTCTTCCTTCAAGAATCCGACGCGACATTTGAATCTCTTTGAAATTCATTGGAACGGGAGAATACTTAGAAGAAGGGGGGGGAGACCTGGACTAGGCACTACATACATACATTACTTATGTATACGTACATTTATTTCTACTTAAGTACGGATTTCCTTGTACCTGATTCGTACCCTATTCGATACCAAGTCGGACTCGAACATCTATCTGACAAGTTTTCGTTATCATGCTTTTGCAACTGAGGGCCAGTCGTAACATACTCACCTTCACAGTGTGTACGTGTGTATGTATGTATGTACGACGTACTTTTACCAATCCTCACTCTGTACGTTAACCTCCTAAGCCGTCATCTCCGCCATGGAATCGTCAACTAGCAAATCTCTATGTTCGCAAAAGATGGGAAGTATATGTAGAAAAAACCCTTTATATTTCATCCATTTCTACAAAACTATGCAAGGTGGATATTTCCTATGTATG